TCTAAGGTAACTTACTGTCGGTAAGGCAGGAGGGTCACGCCTTCTGTGGGTTTAATAAAATTCAGTAAACAGGAATGTGTGCCTATGAGGAAAAGACGGTGAACTGATGTCTGTGGGGGTAGTTCTCAAAGCCCATTTGTTGGAGTTACATATTATTAATGTAACTTGATGATAAGGTGACTGAAAATTCAGTAACAGAGTCATCTTTTTAGGCCCGTATGAGACAGCTTCAGCAAGAACTGGCTGACACCCGAAAGAAAGTGTCCACGTTGGAAGCATCCCTGGAGGTGACAGCACATCATCAAACTAACTCAGAAAATAAGAGACAGGATGGAGAGAGGAAGCCACATCAAACTGCGAACCCAGTATGTATGAAATCCAGCACGTCGGCCGTGAACGTGCAGCGCAGAGTGTTGCAGGGCACTAGCTTTTCAGGGACAGCTTTCTTTTGCATCTTCATTATAATTTCACTTTTATTATCTTTATAATGTACTTGTTTCTTAAATGTTGGCTTTCATTCTGCCATTCTTTATTTTTTTCTTATAATATTTACCCTTAGAGAAGTTGAGAATTATACCTCTTTCCTCACAGAAGTTAACTTTTTTTTTCCTATTAAACAGTATGTTTTAGTGATCTCTCACCACAATGAGGCAAGCTAGATAAAATCAGAGGATAATGTTTCATGGAATGTTCCAGAAAATTGTCATGTCTCATCTTCACTTTTGTGAGTGGATATAGAACCTGTGTGTATTTATTTCATGGATTTCAGAATACCTTGTGCAGAAAGGTCATTATAGAAACCAGTTGAAGTTAGACATTGCCTTCATTTTCTATTCATTTTAGACACCATGTCAAAGCATGGAGAAGTTCAGATCACATCTGTACACCCAAAATAGAGAATTAAGAAAATTGTCTAGTCCTGCCTTTGGATTATTTTTTTAACTTTGTTGAGATATCATTCACATTTTATAGGGGGATTGCATAACTCAAGTGGTAGAGTGCATGCTTAGCATACACAAGGTCCTGGGTACGATCCCCTGTACCTCCTCTAAAAATAAATAAGTAAAACTTAATTACTTCCCTCCACCAAAAAAGAAAAATATTCACGTATCATATAATTCACCCATTTAGGATGCATAGTTAGTATCTCCTAGTATATTCAGAGATGTGCAGCTGTCACCACGATCAATTTT